ACTTGGAGGACCTTGCTCAAACCTCTGCTGTCTCAGTGTGCTCACGACGGGGGTCCTAACTCAAATTCCTGCTGTCTGTTTCCTACCCAATGGTTTTCTCAGTGTTCCCTGCCTAGTGGCACTTACGCACGTGCCCTCACACAATAGCCCCTGCTCCAGCAGGGTCCTGGATCCAACGGGATCCAAAAAGTCAAGGTCAAATTCTCACCCACCCACTAGCCTCTAGCTGGTCTGCAGAGTTCACAGAAGCCAGCTGGCGGGCTCGTTTTGGGCAGTTGGTATAGCCCAAGAGAGCTTGGCCAAATTCCCCACCTGTGGCGCACCCTTAGGTGCTCTCCCGGGTAATCAGCAATGCCCCAGTAAACACAGATAAGATCCTACTGGCCTTTCTCCTGCCAGGTTAGTTCCTCAACAGCTCGCCTGATAGCTCAGGGTGATGTCTGGATCCAAGGTGGTGCCCTGAGGTCACAGGGCTGTGGTGGGGGTTGAGATGTGTGGTTGTGGAGCTGCAAGGGGTTTGGGGGAAGGGGAGGAATGCAAGGGACTAGGCGGTAAGGAGTGCAGGGCTTGGATACTATCACCAAGAGGTGGGGGCAGGGCTTGGGCGCTGCTGGGGGTTTATACAGCAGGACCCTGTGTGTTAAGGGTCACATAGGTGTGGGTTGCAGGGGTTCACACAGTGTCGGGTAGTCTTCCTTCCTCTGGGGTCTCACAGGCTTCGCTCCTCTGGAGTTCCACAGTACGTGGCTGGCTGTTGTTCTTTCCGGGTCTCTTTCAGGCCCCTCTCGCGGTGGAACCCCGTCTGGCTGCGGCGTTCTCCCGCCCTTTTGATTTTCTGACTCTAGCTCTTTGCACATTTCATTGTAATATTTTACTTTGTCATCCGGCACTGCCTTTTGAAATCTTCTGTTCAACTCTTTAGTATCTTGACTTTTTCCTTCTGCTTTGGCTTTTCTGTGCTCCAGTTCAGTATTAAGAATTTCTTCTGAGATGTAACTGGGTGTTTCTGTCATCACAGGAGACTAGAGCGAGGGCTGCATGGTGGAGGGGACCTGGGGGAGGGTTTGTAAAACAATGAAAGAATCTTTTCTTTTACT